GGGGGCTCACTCACAGCTTCAGAGGTTCAGTCCATTGTCATCATGACTGGGAGCGTGGTGGTGTGCAGGCCGATGTGGTGCTGGAGCTGAGACAGCTACATCCTTCAGGCAACAGGAAGTCCACAGACACACTGGGTGGTGTCTTGAGCATAGGAAACCTCAAAGCCTGCTCCCACAGTGACACACTAGCCCCAGTAGGCCATACCCACTCTAAAAATGCCAACCTCCTAATAGTGCCACTCCCTATGAGATTATGGGGGTCAATGACATCCAAACGGCCACACTTAGTTACAGCTTGATCTCCACAGGACTGTGTGGCTGTGCCTAAGGATAGGCACCTGTGGTTGCTAAACCCAGGAGATAAGCCAGTGCTGGTGACTCAAGCCCTGACCCATTCTTGTGCTTGGGGGCCATGCACCATCCAGCATCAAGGGCAAAGCCCTATACAGGACACCGAGGTGAGCTGCTTAGTTAAGTCATACTAGTCATGACCTTGCCTATGACAGACAGACAAGGGAGAAAAACAGAGCTAGAATACATGCTAGTTGCATGTCAAGAAAGCTTTCAGAGAAAGCACGGGCAAACATCTGAAGGAAGATTTTGTTTTCTTTTTTTTCCTAGGGAAGTGGAGCAGTAACCTATTCCCAATACTGTGCAAAGGAAAAAGATGAGCTCATCTGATAGACAGCTTTACAGGTAAAGGTACTTGCCACCAAGCCTGTTGACCTGAATACAATCCCGAAACTCACCTAGGGAAAGGAAAGAACTGATTTCTGTAAATTGTTGTCTGACTTTGCAAAAAATGAAGGCTTGAGTTCAACCACCAGATCCCACATAAAAATGCCAGCCAGGCATGGAGGCATTTGCTTGTAGGCCCACAACTGGGAGGTGGAGACCGGAGGATCCCAGGGCTTACTGGTCAACAGTTAATCTAACTGGTGAGTTCCAGGCCAGCAAGAGACTATGTTTCAAAGGAGGTAGATGGTGTCCCTGAGATGATGACCAAGATTGTCCTCTGGCCTCCATACACAAACACAGAGGCACACATATATACTGACGGGGATGTCTTCTGCACTTATGTTTCTCTTACTGGTTGATGAATAAAACACTGTTGGCCAGCCAGTCGTTGGTGGCGCACGCCTTTAATCCCAGCACTGGGGAGGCAGAGGCAGGCAGATCTCTGTGCGTTTAAGAGGCTAGCCTGGTCTCCAGAGCGAGTGCTAGGATAGGCTCCAAAGCTACACAGAGAAACCCTGTCTCGGAAACCCCCCCCACAAAAAAAAGGAAGAAAGAAAGAAAAAAAACCACTGTTGGCCAATAAGGCAGCAAGATAGGCAGATCTAGGAGATAAGGTGAATTCTGGGAAATGTAGTCAGAGTCAGATGCCATGTGAGACCATAAAGGGGCAAGAGGTCTGGACCCTTCTCTGGTAAGATAAGACCACGTGGAATACTTATATGAACAGAAATGGGTTAATAATTAAGACAGAGCTAGCCAATTAGAAGCCCAAATCACCAGCCAACAGTTTCATAATTAATATAGCGTCTATGTGTTCATTCTGGCCCGAGGGACCTCCTGGGCCAGAAGACTCATGCTTACATATGCATTTTTGGTAAATGAATGAATGAAAGTACAAATGAGGAAATTACATTTAATCTAAGACCTAAAAACTAAGAAGGAATAAACCATGCAAAGTCCAGGAGAAGAGTCTTCCAGACAAAGGAGACACCAGTGTGGGGTTCAAGGAGGGAAAATGTTCACCTTTCTGAACCAAGAAAGGCAGTGGAGTTAAAGTATTCCCGGAGACAGGGTGCAGGATTGACGAGAAGGCAAGAGACAGGTAGCTAAGACTCAGAGGAACGAACGATGGGTTCCTGAGAGGGAGCTTAGGCTTAGTTAATTAGAGGTTGGAATTAGGCAGCTGCCTGTCTTTATAGCAGTTTTAAATGGGAGAATCATCTTTCAGGAAAGAAAATTCCTTTGGCTTATAGTTTAGAGGTTCTACTCTGTGATTGATTGATTGGTCCTGCTATTTTTGGGCCCATGGCTAGGCAGGACATTGTGATGAAGAAGTGGTGAGCAAAACTGTGCACTTCATTCCCAGGAAGCCGAGAGGGGAAGGAAGGAGCCAGGAGCTCATTCAAGGGTACACCTATAATGATCTAAAGACCTCTCTCCAAGTGCCTACCTGGGGACCAAGCCTTTAACATGTAAATCTTTGGTGGCACCTGTACATCCACCTGCCCACCCACACTCAAAATATATAAACAAGACTTTAATAAGAATTTAAATGGTTTATTGGGATTCTGGCCCTTCTGCAGTGTGTTCCTTAGTCATAAGCCAAAAGGAAATAGGTCCAAGTCCAAGACACATGAACTACTGGGACCAGATGAGTTAAGTTAGGTAGTTGGTTGTGGTGGTGCACACTGGTGGGCAAGTGCTGAAGAGAGTTCAGGGCGCCTGGGAGAGCTCAATCTGTGCTACTCAGAAAGAACAAAGGAAAGAAAGAGAGAGGGCTGGAAAGATGGTTCAGTGATTAAGAACATTTGTTGCTTATAGAAGACCTGGGTTCAGTTCTCAGGCCCTGTGTGTAGCTCTTGTGTAACACCAGTTCCAGGGGGATCTGATATCCTCTGCTGGCTTCCTCAGGCACTGCACACACATTGTGTGCATACATACAGGCAAAACACACACATAAAGGAAATCTAAAAAAAAAAATATTTATTAAGAAAAAGAAAGAAGGAAGGGAGGATGGAAGAGAGAGAAAATGCAAGAGAAAGTGAAAAGAGGAAAAGACACAAGGAGCAGAATATTTGATTTATTTGTCGTCAAATATGCAGAAGGCAGACTAGTTATAGGAGGTAATGGTAGGATGAGGAGGGACATTTAGTGTGTTGGAGGGTTCCTTTTTTGGGTGATTTAAATGTTCTGGAATTAGAGAGGATGATGTTAAGCAACTATAACTATTTTAAAGCCATTGCATTTAAATGTGTGATTTAATCTGAGGTTACAATGACAATTCTGATGTTTTTAAAAAGACAGTATAATGCACATCAGTGTAACTAAGGGTCCAGAATGCCTTACACGGAATTCCTTTCCTGAAAAGTAGACTGCCTTCCTGAAAAGCCTGTAGCAGTTTAATTTTACTCACAAATTCTTTGCATATCTAGTAGTCATGTTCCCACTTTTAGCATGCAGCAAACAAATTGTAACTATTTTAGTCACTTGTCGGCCTTTTGGCTAAGATCAAATGCAACTCGTTTAAATTAGAGTGGGATGTTTAAGATTTTAGTTCAGGTGAGAGTAGCTCTGCACTCTAATCCTTGCACCTGGGAGGCTGAGGCAGGCATCTCTCTGTGAGTTCGAGGCCAGCCGGGTTTACATAGCCAGTTCCAGGCCAGTGAGACCCTGTTTCAAGCAAATAAACAGAAATAAATAAATGTTACAATGTTCGGTAATCTGCGATGGAGGTGCACACCTTGGCGTTCAGGTAGGATTTCAAATTCGAGGCTGGCTGAGATACATAGCAGGATCCTGTCCTAAGAACAGTTAAGAACAACATTATGGGTTTCTTCGCCAGACAATATATACTTTGTGGCAAATTCTGAACTTTCATGGTACTGTTACTTTGCTCACTTTAGACTTAAATATTGTAAAGAATCTTTTGCTAGGCCGAGCTGGCCTTATAAAGACCTTCCTTAAGCAGTTGCTCAACACCGTTTCTCAATTATTTGAGTCTCTCACTCACTGTCACTGACAGTGATTTTATCAATACTTCCAAGCACAAAGAACAAGGTAAAATAAAATTAATGGAAGCTCCTGTTCGTTTCCTTCCATGGCCTTTCCTGGGGAAGGGAACAGTGCAAACAGGCATTTGCAGCCTGTGCTAAATGCT